CGTTTTATACTATCAACAAATGTCATCGGTTCTGAAGACTCCACCACCCGGAACCGGCCGTCCATATTCAATATTTTGTTTCTTAACTTTGGAACTAATAAACAGATGAACGCGGCAGCATCCGGAGAGAAATGCATCGTAAGCATGGAAGCAAAACCTTACATTTTTAGACGGAGACAGAGATTTACATCTTATGCTAACTGACTACCAACTAATGGGCAGTGGCAGGGTCGTAGACTCTGGAAGGAGTCTATGATGACAAAAAATTAATAAGACAACGTTACGCACTAAACAATATTCAATTAAAACCACTGGTTTAGTTTGCTTGCAGAGATTTATTACATGCTTCTACATGACTCTATTGCAAATAGTGAAAACAGTGAAAACACAGGTTCTACTGGCAAACGCTGCCCTAGACACACTGCAATACCTAAATGCCAGGGCACCCCAGTTGCTATGTTTGTCAAGTTTTGCCCCTGTGGCGCAACCCTTCTCTTTTGGGAATATTATAATGAGGCCTTATCCAATAAAAATGAGTCTCAAAATGCTTGAACAACTGATTATACTTGATTCTCAATTAAAACCTGAAACGTACGAGTATAACATTTTGTCACAATTGCGCGATCAACCCGACCTATTCGTAAATAATTCATGTAAGTATAATAAAATTAGCTTAAAATCAATAAAGTATTGTTTTCATGCAAAAGTATTTTATCTTTAAAAATAAACGTATTTTGTATTTCGGATACCATTAAGTAAAGTTGGTATCTAAGATTCGTATTTTAAAAGTATCTTTCATTTTATTTCCCACTCTTGTATGTTACTGTTGGAAACATCACCACAGCACAGCACTTGAACGAACATTTGATAACATTTTAGGACTGCTTACCTAATTATAAATTATGGTTATTTTAGAAAACTATCATGCTTTCGATACGATATTTTTAATTACAAAAGTGCAACAGTTTCAAAATCTTGTCAAAATTCCTATTTTCTATATGTAACTTAACAGAAAATCTGCGATTTCACGTTAGTTAGCAAAGCGCTAATTAGAAATCCCAATTTTGTTAATTAACATAACCCTGTAAATCCTGTAGATTACCAGTTTCTTGATTGGCCAGCGGACATTGATATAAATGAATTTCAACTGATAATATGCAAGTACACACAGCTTAACTGAAATTGATGATGTAAATAAATTCCTATATCTGAATTAATTATTTTACGTTCACTGATCTTGTTGCAAAGGAAGCATTTGCTTACTTTTTATTTTATTCAACAAGTTGGTGCATAAGTTTAAGAAAATGTCCAACAAAATATACATTATTTTCAATATGTACAAAGTCAGAGTTACAAATTACCTACTGCCAAAACCATTTCATTGTTTCTTATTTCAACATAGTACTTGATCTTAATTCTGATAGATGACCCTTCTTGTTAATCATCTGCGTTAAGAAGGTGTGTATCCGAGCTTGCTTCCATCCTTTCCCGTCTGTTTAAGATGCCATATTGAACTCCAGCACTTTTCCAATGTACTTGAAGACTTTGCTTATATTCAACCCTTCCCAGGAAAAAAATTAAAGAGCGATTCAACAAGTACAAGCCTATAACTAAGTTATAGGCAAGGTGATAGAGAAATGGACCAAAACGAATATTCTGCAATACCTCAAGCATCAGCACTTGATTAGGGGGCCTGGGTAGCTGAGAAGTTAGCGGGTCGAGCTACTAATCGGTCGACCTCAGGCTCGCGGGTTGGAACCTCCGTCTCGGAAGTTAATTCCGTGCCATGAATGTTGTGTTGTGTGTTGTCTATCTATATCACTCTCCAGAGTGCAAGATCAACTGATGTACATCGCATCGCTGGAGCTGGTTTATTCAATAATCAGTTACCAGTAGATGGCTTGTGGAGTAGAACAGTGTTGGTGCTACAGAGTCGGAAAAACTCGCCTCCCCACTGCTACTACTACTACTACTACTAGTAGTACCACTTGATTAGCAACAGGCAAAATGATTCCACCAGTGTAGAAACTGTCATCACATAATTGTGGATGTAGCTGTACTAATTTTTTTGACCTTTGCTCTAGTTATTCTTTCATCTCAAATAGGCTTTCAATCAGCTATGGCATGGTGGTTTATACAGTCTTTTACAAATATTTAGTTTCACCTATTCTTGTGTATGTGTAATCAAATATTGCAAGTCAAATTTGGTCCACTTCCTAGTGTCAGATAGAGCTGGCACACACGGTTTGATTCACACCGCAATGTTTGACTACTTAAGATGAAGGCCTTCCTCTTCGTGGTTCATCTTCAATCGACTCTCTCCCTTCCGAAAATGCCTTAAACCACCGAAAAACCTGGGATCTTGACAAAACACTATCTCGGTGCGCCTGCTCAGTTTCCGTTGCACTGTGCCGAAGTCGGAAGCAAAACCTGATACACTTGCTGGAAATTGATGTCACTCATTTTTAGAACAATAGAAAAAGCTATTACACAAAAAAGTCGTTACGGACAATGTAATGACTCGTGCGAGTACAAACTTGTACTGAAAGCGAATCACACGTTTCCCTGTCTCCCCTAAAAGCCCTGCCCGGCTAGATCGAACACTTCGTTATCAATCTCATCACTTAATTTACAGACCTCGTAACTTTTAATCCAACATCACGGATATTACATATTGGCGATTTATACTTTCGTTAGTATCCCCTGTGATGTGGGTCTCAAATGAAAGGGCTTGATGAGCGAAGCATAATAAAGAGAGTGATGTAATTGTAAATTAGTGACCGGTCGAAAAAAAAAATTATTATTTTCTCAGGGAGAGTAAAGCTACTTTTCAACGACGCATTGCCGTAAATATGTCAATAATGGTAATGCTTCATGTTAATAATAAAAAAATGTATTTTACTTCACGAAATTAATTCGTAACGTGTGGTTCACAGCTCAGTCGAACATAATCCAAGCCGAAAGGTTCAACCGATTTGTGGCCAAAACAGAAACTTCGGCCGAAGCCTCTTTTTTGCCAAAATTTGACTGAAACCGAAAAGTCGTGTGTCAGTATTGTAAATGGAATATGATGACCGCCGCAATATGGCGAGTTTAATTTTCATAGTAATTCATATGAAAGGGCATAATGAGCGACACACAACAAAAGTAGTGACGTCCTTCTAAATCTAAGATGGTGGACGTCACAAAATGGCGAGGACCCCTATGGTATGGCATATCAGATGAAAAGTATTGATGAGCAAAACAATACATAAAGCGACGTCATTCTAAATCCAATATGGCAGATGCCTAATATGACAATACAATATTATAATGACATGAATGTGATCTGCTAATTGCGGCCATAACTTGTTTGACACTTCTTGATAATTACTCTGGTCCTGTGATGATTTAAGATAGTTATATGAAACAAGTATTCATCTATAATAACCGAAGCAAATTATAGCTTTAGACGATTATATAGTCCGCGTTATTTCTCCAAGAAATTGAAAGAACAAACGTACTTCAATGGAGCACGTACTCTGTATTTACGTAATATATGATTTATTTATCGATCGAAATCTCATGATAAAGATTAAGTTAGATCTAATAAAGCCCTATCAATAAAATATATAAATTTGATAGAAGTTACTAGTTATTTAACAACATAAGTATAAAAAGTATAAAAAGATAACATATTTAAACGACACGCTGTTAATACAAAAAGAAACTAAAAAGTTAAACATAATTTTATCCCGATTATAAATCATTCGCTTTATACTTCTTAACCATTAAACAATAATGAAACTCATTCATATGAAAGCGTGTTACTTATTAACAAGATAAAAAAAGGGTGTAACACGTTTTATTTTATTTAATTTTTTAGTTTTTTTATCAACAGGTAAATGAAGGTTGTTTTTCAAAAAACTGCTTTTATGTATTCAGGCATATTTCTATGCTATGGTCGCTTATGAAGGCTTTGTATATGGATCTGAGTTGCATTCCGGCCAGTTGTAATAATGGATTCTCCTTTCTAAAGCATAGGTAATGTCAGCGCCAATATTCCCCAGGGATTGGTTTTGCCTCTGACGTTGTTTTTGTCACACATTGAAGATCTCCTTCTCAGATGGAAGCACTTCAGATGGAAGCAGTTCAGGATCGATCTCTGAGATTAATTTCGAAAGATCAAGACAGGTAGCAAATTCTGTCTATCAAAGGACTTATTGCTGCCTGTTTTTGCCTAATAAGAATCACCCAAACGTACCTTCGGTTTTGATGGATAACAGCAATGACAAGAAGCTATTAGTTTTGACTTGTCGGAGCGCTGGGAGGAAACAAAATGGAGCAGCTCAATGGTTTCAAAGCCACGGGTATTACGTATCTTGAAAAGTGACGTTATATCGATTTTTTTCTTGATATTATACTGTTTTTTTTTACATTATGTAGGTTTTCCTACAAGATATTAACATAGCACTTAGTTGTAAGGTAAAGTCGGGTAATAAAGCCGTGTTAGTGGAAAATATTTTTTATTAATAAAACTAAAAACGGTTTTATCATAAAATGAACACTTATGCATTTCTCAACATTTGCTTATTACACAAAATAAAACTTATTTTACAAATACTTAAATATATTTTTTTAATAACAAAAAACTGAGTACCTGCATATTGGCCTTATTACCAGACCAGGCAGGTATTAAGGCCATCACAGTAAAATAAGGGCGGGTAATAAGGCCGGATACTTAGGGCATACATTGGGGACAAGTAAAATCCTCTGTGTCTTTGATGGTTAGCCCAACATTTTTTTCATGCACCCATGTCTCACAGGATGCACAAACTCTCATATCACCGAAGTGGTCATGGTTGCAAACTGTACACATCCAACTTTCTTGTGATTCAGCACAACTGGTACTTGGAACACTAAAGGACTTTCTTGCAGTTTGCTCGCCTTTTTTTGGGAATTGTGTTCCTCTGACACTTGCCTCCTTACCTCTTAGGCATGATAGTTGAACGCCTTTTTACGTATTGATACCGTTTTAGATTTCATATCTGGTGTGATAAGAACCTCAGAAAAAGGATTCTCTTGTGCTGCTATCTTCACAAAATTAGACAAGGGAATAAGATCTTCGGGATCCCATTCAGTGTATCCTACTCTAATTTCTCTTCCTAGTTCTGTGCAACAGTTGTCTATTTCATTAGTCATCGAATGGTCATTTTTTTCCACCCTCCAGACGATTGCTTGGAAGACTTGGTGCAAACACGTGTTCGGGAATGGCATGTTTATTAAACGGATATATCCCAGTCGCCCTGAAGCCACTACAGATATTGCTCATCGTCATACTTTTTTTCCCACACGGGCTTAAAAACATTTGAGAATCGCTCTTTATTTAGTGTTCTATCGGGCTGTTGGTCCCAGTAATTAAGCAATTCTTGATCCCACTGAGATTCAAACGGGCGAAAAATAGACACGTCCATGGGTTGGAGCTGGTGTGTGGTATTGGAAGGAAGACAAAAGAGCTCTATGCCTAAGGACTCTGTTTGACACGATACACCGTCGAATATTAGAATCGTGGGAGGGGCAGACATAAAGTGGTCCAACCACGTTAAAAATGTGCCAGTCGTCATCCTACCTTTGGGTGTCATGCAAACCTCTGACCCGGCAGGCAATCCATCTTTATATGTAGGTTTCTGTCGCTGACCTTTAAAAGGTATCATTGGGGGCACCACTTGACCAAGGGCATTCGCACAAGCCACAATTGTAACATTCTCTCCATGTTCTGGCGCGACTAGGTGTACCCTTCTTGATCCTTTCTCCGCTAGCACACGTTGTTTGTGTTCCAGGGTCATTCTACATCCCTTCTCGTCCATGTTGTAAAGCTTTTCAGGTCGGTGTTTTAAACCCTTTCTAACCAAGAGACTACCTAATTTAGTGAAGTAATCATCGACAATGTAGCGGCTCAATTTTTGAGCACGCGTGGGATTCAGTTGCTGAGCTCTCCTTTGTGATATGTTCGGATGGCGCTTTAACAAGGGACGATACCATTCCTTGCCTACCAACTGCGTTACTTTATTAAATTTGTGTGGAACACCAAGTGTTTCACAAAATTTGAAAACGCTACGACGCAAACTTTTTGACGTGAGAGGAAAACCTTTCTCAGCAAATCGAATTATTTTAACCGCCAAATCGTTTTATTGTGTGCTTAGAAGGGGTTTTGCACCTAAAGAACGTTTTGATAAACCGGATTCCGAGTGGTTTCTTAGCGTGCGACGAGGAATGCCACAACGTCGTGCTACCGTTTCTTGTGAATTCCCTTCTCTTAACAACTGTAAAGCTTCTGCCATCGTTTCCTCTGCCCATTGAGCCCTAATGCCTCGATTTTTCTTCTCCATATCTGCGAAATCATAAGTATCTAATTTAACACATTATTTTCTAGCCTTATTATCTGTCCTACTAATAGCAAACTATTAGTAGAGCAGGCAATAAGGCCACGGCCTTATTATCTGGACAATGTATTTGGAATATTTTAGGTTATGAATCTTCTAATAATGCACAAACAAAGTACATTTATCTATTAAACATTTAGTTAATATCCATAAAACACAAGCAAACAGACGGTAATAAATATGCACTTGTTTTTCTGTAAATATAGCCTACCTTTTGCGGACGCTTCTTATAATCTTAGGAAAATCACTCTAATAAAACAATCAACGACATACACAGAGCTTCTGGTGGACCGGACAAGCCGTTAACTCAATTCAATGAGCTAAGATTCACATACCTGTTAACAGATGACACTGTATGTACCAGTATTTAATTTATTTTACTTTTGATGGGCTTTCGGCCTTATTACCTGTCCGGCCTTATCACCCGACGGTACCTTACGTGTTGCCTAAATGTCATGAGGCTTCAGTTATCAATGTTTGGCTCTGATGTGATGTAAAATCTGCTTCAAAGATAGCATTGCTGGAGGTCTAAGCTGTAAGTTGTATGTGTTGATGATAATTCCATTGGAGTCTTGTCTCAAATACACTTACTTGAGATTCAAAGCTAGAAATTAGTTACGCACTTTTCCTTATACATTCTGGAAATGAAATTTGCAAATTTACTAAATTTAAAAAATGAAAGAGATAAGAAATAATTATATTCACTGTACACTGTTGAATTACAAGCCATATACATGCTAACAGTAATTACACTCAACGCGGGCGCGGTGGTGATTTCTCGTAATTCTCCTCAAAGTTTTTCGTAATCCATATCTTTAGACATAACCTCTCTTCAGAAAGCACAACACAAATAACTCGTCAGGCACAGCTAACAGATTCTTCATTGGCAGCATATTCAGTAATGATTTTCTCACACAGCAAGTATCACTGATTTTATACACAGATGCGATCTTGCTATTCAACCAACTTTCTTCTCAGAGATGAAAACTACAGACCACTCGGCTTCACAAAACATATGTAACCAACAGTGTAGTTTAGTTGAGTAATTCCTCTATAGATGGACGCTCACAACGATCCTAGTTAGCAAACGTGGAATGACTGTTTGCACCCTAAAAACTACCTAGTCTGCAAGATGACATTTTATAGGTTTTTTTGACGTTTTAAAGGTTGTCTACATAATACCCGTGCGGGTACTCATCAACCTGGCACGAAACCGCGCTCGCCTCATTTTCATTAACGAGACCTGTCGCTGACCTATAATTTTCCACTGATGCCGCATCTCTAAAACAGCTATTAGTCTGCAGTTTCATATACTCAGTTAATGATTGTCCATTCGCTATTTTTGGCAACTAGTGTACACATTTTAGGTCGTGACTCTGAGAGAAGAATAATCTTTTTCTCCATCCGAAGTGTAGAATACGACGGCTAGCGTTGTGTTTATATGGAACTACGTATCACTTTAGTCAAGGACAGACAAATCATATTTCGCAAGAGAGTGAATTTATACAGTTTTATAAAAATAACCTACCGCAGTTATATGTACAACGTACGACATATATGCTGAATCAATTAAAAAACTTATCGTGATCGGCCACCATTTTCTTTATGGCATTTATTTACACAAAAAACCCATTTGAAATTTAAATTGAGCCGTAGGAATTTGTGAAGGAACGCCTTAAAAATTTGAAATGATTTGCATTTTTACGTAATTAGATTCGTTATTCATTTCAAAATGGCGGTGGTCGGAGTCTCAGATTTATGTCTTGATGAATAATCATGATATCCCAGAAAACAAAAGTTCTCCGGTCTGCCTATTTATTTAAAATGCAACAGTTGAAATATTAACTGAGTGCACGTGAGAAGGTCGATTACTCTCCTACTTCTATGCTTCAATATTTAGGTGTGTTACATTATAGTTATTTTTAACTGTTAAGAACAATATTGATACAGTCAAATTGCCTTTCTGTAAAATAATAGGGACTTTTTTAACAGATATTGTTAATAATTCTGCGCGGAGATAGAGCCTAAGTACAGAGGTAGCGTTAAAGTTAGACACTTCACTGTTGAGATTTTTGAAGAGAGAGTCAGCAGAACTGGATAATCGGTTTTCGGTGCGTTGACCTCAACCGAGTTAAAATGAGAAACAAAAGCCTGGCGAATCTGTTCAACAGACAGTATCATGGATGAGGAAATAATTAAAAACCCAGAATTGCACGCCATACGAAGTGGCTAATATTCCTATTGCATTTAATATACACTGTAAAATTAAGGCCACAAGAAGCTCTGATCAACGAAAACCATTAGAGCTAAAAAGTTTCAGAATATAGACACTATTTACATTGGTCGTTAGCGAGACCATCTGGGCCAGTCTGATCGCTAACATCCAAAAAGGATAAACACTAGAAAAAAGAAACAACAGTAGATGACCTACAAATTGCCTATGCCAGGCCGCTTAGAAAGGCCACCAAATGCTTCTTTTGAATCACAACTAAGGATATGAGTTTCACCAATGAAATAATGAACTTACTCCTCAGCAGTATCCGAATTAAGCTAGGAAGTGCCTAGTTCAGGCAGCAGCGGTGGCCGCAGTAGTAGACTCTTCGGTCTCGTGATCAGTCGCCGTGCGCTGTGCGGGTTCGAATCCCGTCCCAAAAGAAATTTTTCTCTTGGCTATGGATGTTGTGATTGTCCGTAGGTGGTAGACGATCTCTGACTGTCGAACGCAGAGGTGCCACCCGGCGGATCTCGTAGGCGTGGCCAGAATGTGTGCACGCTGCATGCACACGTGCTCCCTCGCCAGAGTCCGTGTGGCGTTCCCCCTTTCCCCTGTATCCCCCTATAGCCCCACGGTACCCCATGGGTGTTTAGGCCTTAGGCCTTCGTGGTAGTTGGAATATAAAAAAAAAAGTTAATATCTTTTTTGTAGGGAACCATACTTCCTATCGGTAACCGATGAGGCTAAATATTATTTTAGAAGTTTTTTATTAGTTTAGTGTACTCCTCCATCACTCTGCCAGGTAGTAGAATTATAGGCCTGTAATTGTGAAGATCAATCTTTGTATGTTTTACATGACATGTACATTACAAAACACCATTTCACTCATTTCTGTCGATCTGCCTGTCGGCCTGTCTGTGCGCTAATTTTGATACAAGGGTACTACTATGCCACAGATTATACAGATGTCCTTTCACGTACTTAGGCAAAATAATTTGCGGAGAGCTTTTTTTTTAAATATAACCACCAACAACAAAAAAAGAAAAAAGTATTATTTTCAGTGGAAAACAACAGAAATTTCCCAAATTATAGAAATGACTTGACATTTACAAAACGAAAAATAAAAAGTTTAATCTAAAGGAAGAAATGCGAACAGCACACGAGAATGATGTGTTCAAGAATGGGTGGAGACAATTCGTGTAGGATTTACTTGGTGGTTAATGCCAGAACCTTTTGTGATTTTTAGCAGCTTAATCCTACTTGTGGCTTTTATCATAAACCGGTCAAAAAAAAAATGATTGGTGGAAAAGACAACCACTGTTCCAAAAACTTCATTAGTCTTGTTGGTCTGGATATGTACTTTTGATTTTTTGCCTTCGATTCATAGAAGTGTCGACTAGTTACAGCTAGGATTTTAGTTCAACAGCTCCTCGAAATGTATTACTGTTTGATTTTTATTAATTATTATTTTTGATATATTGTGCTAGGAGAAAAGGTTTGTCTAGCAGAGTTTGACAGCTATTCTGATAAGAATGAAGTCATGAAACATAAGAGCAAACTCAATAAACTAGGCGAGAGGGTATATATAGACGATGATCTGACGAAAATGGAAAGGCAAATATAGATCAAGATTAGAATTATTGCCAGAGATGCAAGAGTTAAAGGAAAGCAAGTCAAAATGGCGTACCAAAAGCTGATTATAGATGAACATCGAAACATATCAGCTGCAAAAAATGAAAAATAACAGACAAAAAAATTAGAAAACTTGGATGCTCTCAGCGAGATAATGATGATGACAAGGCTATCAAAGGGACTACGAAATGGAAAATCAAAAACAAAGAATAGCAAAACAGACGTGAAACTAGGAACATGGAATATAAGAGGCTTGTACCAAGCTGGTCGATTAGAACACTTGGCCAATGAATTAGAAAAACACAACTTTCAAATAGTAGCATTACAAGAGACCAAACAAAAAGGACAATGCAACCAGCAAATTGGAAATTGCATATTTTTCAACAGCGGTGAGGAGAATAGACTCTTTGGAACAGGATTTATGGTTAGCATGCGGCTGAAAAGTATAATAGTAGATTTTAGCCCTGTATCTGAAAGGATATGTACGCTCAGGATAAGGGGAAAATATCAAAAAATAACTTTCATAAATGTGCATGCGCCCACAGAAGAGAAAGGACAAGAATTTAAAGAACAATTCTACGCCCAAATAGATGAAATATATGATCGTATACCAAGGTATGACTTGAAAATAGTAATAGGGGATACCAATGCTAAGATAGACAGAGAAGAAGTATACTTTCCCTCAATTAGAAGACATGGTCTGCATATGGAAACAAATGAAAATGGTCATTTTCTAATAGATCTTGCCAGGGAAAAAGCTATGATTATAAAAAGCACATACTTTGAAAGTAATTACTCTTTACAAAAGAAGAAAATGAAACATATTTTAAGAGAAAAGAAAAGAAAATATCACGAAAATAAACTACAGCACATAGAAGACAATTATAAAAACAAACAGATCAGAAACTTATATCAAGGAGTAAAGAATGAAAAACGGGGTTACCAAACTAGAACTACGTACTACAAGGATAAAAATGGTAAGAAGATATTCGATGAGGAAGAGACCCTTGCACGCTGGAAACAATACTTTGAGCAGTTGCTAAACCCTGCAGACGACGCGGCCGATGACTACAATGAGGAAAATCCAACAACCCATGTAAGACCTCAACTAACTGAAGAAGATCCGCCAACATTATCGGAAGTCAAAAACATCGTAAGCATCCTGAAAAATGGTAAGATCCCCGGAAGCGATAGTGTAACCGCAGAAATGATTAAATATGGAGGGCCTCGACTAACATACATGCTACATAACCTGCTGAAGAGTATATGGGAATAAGAGGTCATACCGGTAGAATATAATGAAGCGATAGTGTGTCCCATACACAAAAGGGTAATAATAAATAACTACAGAGGCATAGCGCTTCTCAATTTAACTTACAAGCTACTGGCCATACAAATCAAAAACCGGCTGGCAATACACACTGAAGCAATTACTGGAGAGTATCAATGCGGATTCAGACCAGGACGCAGTACCACTGACCAGATTTTCACGCTCCGAGAAATTCAAGCTGAAAGCTATGAATATGAGAAACCGACTGTGCTGCTCTTCATTGACTTCAAGCAGGCATTTGATCGAGTAAAAAGGAAAAAGCTATATCAAGCACTCCAGGAACGACATGTAAGCCAAAAACTGATTAATATGATTAAAATAACGCTAGAAAAGACAGAAAACAGGGTCAAGATAAACAGCAGATTTACAGAAAAATTTGAAGTCAAAGAAGGAATCCGTCAGGGAGATCTACTGTCATCGCTCCTATTTAACATTGTGCTCGAGAAAACTATACAAGAAGCAAACATAAACAGGGCTGGTTTAGTATATCACAGAAAGCATCAATGCCTAGCATTTGCTGACGACTTGGTTATTCTGGCCAGAAGTAAAGTCGAACATATAAACACCGTAAAGAGACTAGAAGAAAAAGCACGAAGCAAATGGTCTGTATATTAATGTAGAAAAGACAAAGCACATGGAATGGGCAGATAAAGAACTTGTTAAAGGATAACACTTAATAATGACCATAACAAAAGGAGCAGTTTATAAGTTCGAAAAAGTACATACGTTTGACTACTTGGGCACAGTATTTACATCAAAGCCGGGCAACAGAGAGGAAATACAAAAAAGAATAATGGCTGGAAATCGTGCCATATATGTGCCTAAAGGGCTAATGAAAAGCCAAATTATATCCAGGGGAGCTAAAATCAGGCTCTACAAAACGCTAATAAGGCCAGTGGTCACGTATGCATGTGAAACATGGACGATAACAAAGGAAGATTTTTGGTGGCAAATGTTAGATGATAGTACGTGGACCCGAAGAACAAATGATGATTTGGAAGAACTGTTTAAAGAGCCCAACATAACGGCGGTCATAAGAGATCAGAGGTTGAGATGGTTGGGACACGTGCAAAGAATGGCAGAACATTGAGTACCAAAGACACTGCTTACCCATTCAATAGAAGGGAAGAAAAGGAGAGGCAGACCTAGAACAAAGTGGAAAACTGAGGTGAAAGATGACCTGAGGAAATTAAACATAAGTGATTGGGAAAGAAGAGCAATGAATAGAGAAGAATGGCGAAGGATCGCCAATCAAGCCATGGGCCTACTAGGCCTGTAGTGCTAATTTATATATATATATATATTGTGCTTAATTTCATAGGTATCCGAGGATGATAAAGGTTGAAGACCGCTGGTCTAGATCAGCCAAAGTACCCGGACGACGCAACGCTTTCCCTCAATGGGCGTGTTGCTTAAGGGTCCTTTTACTTCGCTTACAAGTTCACATCTCTGAATGTGAGCCCTTACATACCTACAAACAAGTAATTAGTTGCGGCGATGACATATGTATCCAATTCAGCCGCAGGCGTATATGTAAGAGATACTGACTGGCTGTACCGCGATATGTGATCCATCAATCGCAATTCTAGCCACCGCCTAACAAACAAATGTGCTCTACTCGATGGGGTCAGGCAAAACCGAAATCGCTAGAAATTAAGGTCAGACGTGTCGCCACGGCAGCCAGCTCGGTGGCTTTTAAAAAATTAGGGGCGTGCGTTTCATTAGAGGGTCAATAAACTATCGATTTCAGATGGCGATCGGATTCGCGATGTATGGAGACGATTGACACATAGGCGGAGGGTAAGAAAGCCATCCGAAGACTGGATGGCTGGATGCAGTTTAAGCCTGGCATACAAGTGAAGCAAACCATTGAGTGCAGACTGAGTACCATATTTCTAGTTTTCTATGCATAGTGAAATTAGAATCGGTAGAATGGGGAAGCTATGGTACCAGAAAGACAGAAGATCATGATTGAAACATTGAATTCATCGTTCAGCCCCGGACAAACGTCCTGGGTTTCCCAAACGATGCGGCACACCCAAATTTGCAAAAAAATAGAAAGAGCTGTGGATTTTGTCCGTCAGGAAACACATCTACCAAAGTTTGCTGTCTCAGTCAACATTGACTTCAAAAATAATATTGTTTGGCATTTTTTATGGACCATTAATATAGAATCTCTGGAGATGGCATGCTTTGAGGTGCCCCAGGGTTCAATCTTGGGGCCTTGCCTTTTTATAGTCAAGTGACTTATTCCATCATATGTCAGATCTTTGTGTGGCATATGCTGGCATATTCTGCCAATTATCTAAAAATAAATGAAGACAAGACTGAAAATATAATCTTATCGACTAGTAAGTCCGTGACGGTAGAAATGCTAGAACCCTTGGAATAATGCTCATTAAGTTGGGTTCATCACATTTTCTTTTGGGGAAATTGAAATCACAGGTCAGCCGACAAGTATTAAAAAGTTGCTACTTTGGGTTATTGTATTCATAGCTTAGCTATGGTTTAACATTATCGGATAATTTAATAAAATAAATAAGCTACATTCATTACTCAGAAGAAAGCCATTAGAACCATGATCGGCTTAAGTTATTACGATTCTTGTAGAGATTACTTTAAACATCTCACAATAATGCATGTTTCAACCTTATTTATCTATGCCACATTAATAGATGTACATAAAAATATAAATAACTATGTCTCAAACAATAACTTCGACAGTTACGAAACTAGATCATCTGAAGACTTGAGAGCACCCAAATTCTGACTGTCGATATCAAAACACGTTTAGATCTGTACAATCATCTACCAACAAGTACTCGTCATCTTAATACAGTTCTGTTTAAACATATTTTAAAGAAGTTCATGACTTAACATTGTTTTTGTTCCATAAGTGAAATATTTTAGCTCAAAATGTTAACCAGAGAGGTATGCGTAATGTCGAATTTTCATATCTAATGTATTTCTATGTTGTTACTTCTAGCTCTACGTTTTTTCTGTGATCGTTCTTATAACTATAAACGGGACCTTTGTTAAATTGTTAAGTTTTCAT